CAAACAAAATAAAAAATTATTTTCAAATTATAGAAACTATAGAAATTGAAAAATAATAAAAATTGTAGAAAAACACCAAAAATTATATAAAAATGCAAAAATTACAAATAAATAACAAAAAATACAGAAAAATTTATAGAATATAGAAAATAGAAAATGTAAAAAAACAAAAATTATAAAAAATATTGAAAATTATAACAAAACACAAAAAAAACAGAAAAAATAAGAAAATTGAAAACTGAAAAGACCATTTTTCCTCTAACTTGCCATTCAWGGGTAATTTGGTCATGAAATTTGTTATTTATGCTGACATAGACACCTCTGTTAAGAAGCATTAACAGTGCACTAACAGAAGGTGAGTTTTGGAAAATAAAAACTTCCTGACATTGAATTTTAGACATTTTGAAAAAGTTGTGGTGAGTTTAAGGGAAAGGTTGAAAACTCATGGTGAGTTTTAGACAATTTTCCTTTAATTTAAAAATAATTAACCACATGTGTGAGAACTGAGAGGACGAGTATGTCTATATAAGCATCGTAGTGAGACTGTGAGAGGATCAATCACCTCCCCTCTTTCCAAGTAGCCATTTACAAACAATTGGTGTATAGTAGTCATTTACAAACATCCACTTATATAGAAGCAGGTGTACATATATAGAATGACATCAAATATCCTCCGCTTAAGTTTTAAGGATTTTTTTAGAGTATTCCATCAGCTGGCTTTCAGGTATCCATTTACAAATAATTGGTGTATCGTGCAAGAAGACAGGAACATGTTACTTAAGGCTTAGTTTGGAAAGAGTACAAATACAAATACATACAAAATACAAGGATTTGTAGTACAATTTCCAAACTGAGCCTAAAAAAAATAAAATTAATTGTACTCTCCCAAGCATGAAAAATAAAGAGAGAAATCTTCCAAACCAGCACTGGCACCTGATTTTATGGTAGGAACTAGGAAATGATAAGAACAAGGACTTTCTTAATACACTAAGTTTGATTAACAATATAATATTTGTTCGGTTCTAAAAACATAAAGAGAATATAGAGTATAATAACTAAATACAACGAGAGAGATCAGGGAGAAGTTATCTTACAATAATTACATCCTACTTCGCTGCACTATTGTTCTTTGGCACTCTTGGAAATGGCGGTGTAGGAAGCTCTACAAGAGTTGGGAGTTCTCTCTGATGGATGTGATTTTATCTTCTAATGGCCAAATTTCAGAGTTATTCTCTATTTTATCTTTCTGATTGGAAACCTCCTCTGTTGATTTTTTTTTTTAATCTTACAATAAGAGAGATAAGCAAGGACTAAAGTATCGGTATCGGGTACCGCATCAAACAACTCAGATATAGATACGGATATGCTTTGGACTCCATTATATAAAGGCCTCCCTCCAGGGGCCCAAGCTACGCACGCAATTATTGCTTACTAGCTCTCTTGCTCTTTAATTACTCTCAGCTCGCACATACTGACTTAAGCATCGGAGCGACCTCGTCAGGTAAGCACCCCCCGGGTTCTCTGATTCTTTCTGTGCAGATCCTCTATGTCTGTCGTTCACTAGAAGCCGAATCACCTCCAGCTAGGAGCAACCAGATTGCGCAGCATCAGAAATGCATGGATACAGACAAAAAAATATGAAAATGCATGAATACGCTAAGAAAATACATATAAATTCCATAAATATAATAATATCATCAAATTTAATATCAAAATAGTATATAAATACATAGGAAATGTATATTTTAGTGATATATATGAAGAAATATATTATAATTAATACATCAGGATGCATAGATATCATATAATTTTATTTACAATGCATCAATCAAGAGTCCAAGGCACTAAACATATGCACCTATTATATTTTAATTATTATATAACTTATTTTTTAATTTTTTAACATTAACAAAAAGTCAACTAAATATTAAACTCTCAAATACAATTAAAATATTAATTAATAATTTATAAAAATATAATCTTAACTTAAAGTATATCAAATTTATTAAAATTTATAATATATATCATATAAAAATTCATAATTTTTAATTACTAAAACAATCATTCCTTTATTAATATTTTATTTATATTATTTTTCTAATATGAAAAATAATTTTTTGAAATAAATGTAGATTAATGGATTTGATAAATTCAATTTAATGTTATAGTCTTAAATATTTTATAAATGATATTTTTCTTTTTTATAAATAATAAATTTGTTGTTATTACTTATTAATATAAATTAAAATATTAATTAATAATTTGTAAAAATATATAATAATTTTAATATTCATATCATTTACAAATTTATAAATTTTAAGTATTAAAATAGTTGTCTTATTCTTAATATTTTATTTGTATAATTTTCTTGATATTAAAAATCATCTTTTTATATAAACATGGATTTGATAGATTATTTATTGTATTAGTTTATAAAATACTGTTTTTGAATATTATTCTTTTGAAAATTTAGTTAAAGTCTTTTTTTGGGTAGTAGAGATTGAAAAAGTCGCATATAGAGACAGAAGTTAATAAAATCTATTTTATTTTATTTGTTATCGCAAGGACAAACATGGATTAGTAACTTAGAATTGCATTTAAGGTGCAGGTTTTGGGCACACTTTGATGATCTGAGTTTGAATCACCACGCCTGCAACTTTTTATAGAGAAACACTGAGTATAAAAAAACATGGATATCTTCATTAAGGAGAACCGAAATCTCATTAGCTATAGCCGAATATAACCCAAACCTGAACCAAACCGAGAATCCAGGCCTGATGCAAGCTTAGGCCCATGTCGGGCCTAAACACAAAATCCCAAACCAGGCCTTGAAAATTTACGGAATGATAGAGGGAGAGAGAAAGAAAGAAAAGGAATTAGATATTCAGAGGTAAGAGGACAATGGCTCTAAAAGTCACAGGCGGCCAAAAACATGAGCAACACATCAAAAGTCAGCCTCATTTTCAAATACCTTACGACATCCGCTGCTTGTCATTGTTAGGACTCATGATTTTACTCTAACCAGCATTTTATTGCTCATAAAACAAAACAAATTGAAGAATTTTTCTTAGAAATGGCAAAATATCATTTTTCCAATCTTCTTGCTGTTTGGTTTAACTTGGAAAATAGGCCTAATAGTTGAGAACAATATGGGTGTATTAAATATTAATCACATTTGGAATATGAGAGTCTCATCTCTTCAAACTCTAATTTAGCCTGCGAGAAATTAGAAGGAATATTCGATTTTTAGAAATATACAACCCATGGTTTTTAACACCGGATTGGACCAGATGGTCGGACTGGAAAAATTGAGAATCGATTAGATGATTGGTTTTATTTTAGCCTAACTTTCGTCAAAACGGGCCATCCATACGGTTCGAACGATCAGACTATTCGACCCGATAACAGGACCCCTGACCAATTTTTTGTCCAATTCAGTTTTAAAAACCATGATACAATCCAATATATTAAAAATATCAACTTTTAGAAAATTATTCTTTTTCTATTACTTCTAACCATTGATTTGGTGGCATTTGTATTGTTAATAATTATTATCTTGAATAAAAAAATAATATATTGAAATTTCCTAAGAAAAAATAATATATTACAAGTTGAAAAAGGCAAAAGAGTCAAGGACAAACCAAAAAGAACATGAATAAAAATAATAAGAAATGATTTAAGTGCATGTGATCTAACATGGAAATGGCACGGACAGAAAGCGACAACCCCATGTAATTTTGGACTAAGGTTAAGTTTAGATGATGATGAAAAAGAATTAATCTACGTCCAATTGACATATTTTAAACAATACTTGCAAAAATAATTGATTTCAAATAGCAGTTGAACCAAACAAGACATGAAAGAATAATTATACATTTCTTTAATCAAGCCAGATCTGTTGTTTTGTCTCGAATCTCTAGGCCTGTTTGGTTCGCTTCACCTCTAAGCCTGAGGCTTGATCAGTTGTCGTCAATGACAAATTGTTCTTTTTTTTTTAACTTGGTTATTTGTTAATAATTACTCAACTCAATCTTTATAACCTTTTGCTGGTGCATATGGCTCAAACGAAATGCAATGTAAAGGTTTTTGAAGGCAATTTGGCTAATCCTTCAAAGTCAGGTTTTTGAATCGCCCTTGATTCAGACGGCTGGACCGTTAGGATCGGGAACTATTTAGGTAATCGGTTTTGTTTTACCTAAAATCCGATTTTGGTCAAAAATCATTGAAAAAATTAACAAATTGTTGATTTGGACAGTCGAACTATTGATCCGTTCAACGATTTTGACCGTTTTTTATTTTTAATTATTCTTTATTTTTTAATTTATTTATCAGAACGGGTCATCCATTCAAACTCGATGATCAGACCATTGACCTAAAAACTAATGGTCAGAACAGTTCCATTTCTAGATCGTTTTTTAAAACGTTGCTTCACTGTATTTTAAATCATGCTCTCAAGCTTCTTGAGGACACGAACCAGCTGACCGGGAAGAGGGAGTGGAATCTGGATTCTCAGCTCTCTTGGGTTTGGTTGGCAGCCTCTATCTGTTTTGAACTGATTATTTAATCCAGACAAAACATACATCCCATCTCAATTGACCCAATTATATTATTTATATAAATAATAATTTAAAATTAATTTTTTGATAATATAACCTTAATAAGATTGACAGATAAACTGTAATTAATTTATTTATATAAAAATTATAAGAAAACTAGAACCTTTATGTATGAGCCCAAAGTGGAACGGTATCAATGGGTCCAACATCTTAGCCTAGGCCCAAATAACTGGTCCCCACAATGGGGAAGATTTAGCGTCAGATTGGAATCTACCAGATATCCATAGCCCACGTTTTTTTATTTTTATTTATTTATTTTTATACCCATAGCCCACGTTGATCGGGCGTTTCTTGATTGATATCTTCGATGTGGAAACTTTGGAAGTTGGAAGTTGAAACGGAGCAAGAGTCAAATTGGTACAGCAAGTTGAAGCCATGGACTCAACGGTCCTTTTCGGTTTGTCAAGGTCAGCAGCGGATCCAAAGAAAATAGGCGCCAACAACTTCCTCATTCCTCCTGTCAGCGGGATCCATTTGCTGGATCTTCCTCTCTCTCAGTTTCCCTTTCTTCCTTGCCTGCTGGTAAAGTAGCTCACATCGCTCTTTATTTCTCCTCTCGTGAACCCTAACTCGATTGAAATGATCAGGCATAATTTTTTAATCGAGGATCAATCTGTAGCATTTAGAAAAGCTTTCGTTTTTCTTTTTTTTTTCTTTGATTACAGTCATAGAATCTGTCTCAGTTTCCCGATTCGCATAAGTTCCCGGTGAAAATAATTGTTTTTTAATTTGTCTAGTTGTTTTTCTTTTTTGTTTTTAAGAGCTACCTCAGAGTGTCATCAGTAATCTGCTCCACCTGGAATTTTTCTTATTTGGAATCGCTGAGCTGGTTAGACTCCTCCAGGTTGAATTGGTCCGTAGGTAAGAGACAAAAGGCCAGCTACAGATTGGTAAGGATTTAAGTCCACAATCGGAATCGAGAAGTAAAGAGAAATGGCTGTGTAAGTTAGTCTTCTAAGTTGACAAAATTTCTGTAGTTTCTGTATTTGGTTGCTTGTTTTTTTTCCAGAAATATGTTCAAACCATGATAGTTGTATCTGAATGGCTAATTTTTATTGTTATTGATGTTGATATTGTTATAGAGTTGCATCCGCTCCTGGGAAGGTTTTGATGACTGGGGGTTACCTAATTCTGGAGAGGCCAAATGCTGGACTCGTCCTTAGCACAAATGCTCGTTTCTATGCTATTGTGAAGCCAATTTACGAAGATGTCGAGCCAGAAAGCTGGGCCTGGGTGCGTGTTCTTTTTCTTTTTTTTTAATGTCTTTATATTTGATTATTTTTAGAAAATGTTTCTCTTTTTTCTGTTTCATGGGTTCCTGAAATCATGGACTCTTTCTCTTTTTGGGTGGGGAAGGTAAGGCAAAACTTAGATATCAGCTTAGAGGTTGTTAGTAATATGGCTATCTTAGAAATTCATTTGAATTTCCTGTATGAAGTTAGATTTTGTACTTATTAGGTGAATTTGATTCCTAACCTAAGATCGAGGATATGCTTGGATTTTCATGTCATTTCGTGAAATGGGAGCCACATATTATGAAATTCATGGTTTATAAGGTGACAAATTAATGGGAGACTTGGCTTAGGAGTAAAAAACAAATTCGCTTTATCTCAATCCATATAATAATTATTTCTAATGGAGCAAGAATCCTGTCTTCATCATGCTAACCACTAACCCACTGATCACTGAGCAGTGATTTCTGAGAAAATAAACAAGTTGTGGGGAAGTTGGAGTCTTTTTTTTTTCCATTGAGATCAAAATAGGCCAGTTTCATCTTAGAGTTCTAGTGCCTCTCCTAAATATAATCCCACTTCATGTTTTTTTATGTGTATCATGCAATTTTCACCCTAGTCAGAATTTGTACTATTGGATTTTAACAACTACCTCTTTGGTTGATACTAGATGTGTACTAGTGATTAAAATATTATATTAAAATGTCTAATTTGATGGAAATATTGGTAATCCAAATATAGGAAATATGTTCGAAATGTCATATGGAAATTGTAGAACTTATAGACATGGTGAAAACATTATGAAATATGCAGAAATATACAATTTAATGATAAAAAAACATATATGCACCCCTTTAATATATTATCTTATTTCTAAACCATCAAACACAACCAGGAAACTAAGATTAATAAACAAAATAATATACTACAAAGTTGTTTATAAATTTTAAGAGTTAAAATTACATAACAGAGCATGTTCAAGTAAAATTAAAATCTATAGACTATGCAAATGATTCTAATAGATCAACCAAATAATCTATCACACAAACAAAAGCTTAGATTTAAGATCACAACCAAAAACATTTGAGCTTTCTCAATGTGGCCATCATCTCCATTAGGCAGTCAATAATACTATTGTTCCATGTATCTGCAATACTGTTGAAGTATTGTTAGCCCATCATGTTATACAGTTATAGTACCGTCATCTATACTCCTCCATTATGTCAATAGTTTTCAATGGGGAGTATGTCAGTTCCATTAATATTTAGTGTTGGTACCTATAGAAATAGAAATATGCTGTGGGAATATGTCAACATTTCTAAACCATTACCCATGACTCCTCAATTGCTCTACTACTTTGTTTGTTGCTAATTTCCCGGTAGTTCTAACACTAATACACTTTGACATGTAACATACAACATTTTATTGGCTATTAACCTGCCCTAAGAAATTAAGAAAATGATTTAGGGATCTTTAACCTTTCTTTCATTATTGCTATGGATGTAATAAAACTATTTATGCTTTCTCTTTACATTTCTTTTTGTTTGCTAATGAAGGTTGATGAGCTAATTAATCAGAACTAGGTTTGTTAGGCTTATTTTGATTCTCTAAAAAGATAATTATCAAGATGTTGCAACCTTGTTAAGGATAGAGGTTACCACAGTATTATAGCTTTCATGATTTTTTTGGACATCTTTCAGGCTTGGACAGACGTGAAATTAACATCTCCTCAACTGTCTAGGGAAATTGCATACAAAATGTCACTGAAACATTTAACTCTCCAGCATGTCTCCTCAAGGCAAGTTCCCATCAGGTTCTCCTATATATATTGGAACAACATGTTTTTTGCATATGCAAAACTAGAAAGTGGTGCTGGGGACTATGTACTTTCTTTTTCTTGCTAATTAATAAAGATGTTAATGGCTACCCATTTAATTAAAAATATCTCTTACTGTTTTTCTACTAACATACAAGTCCATCTACATGTATACATGTGCACCTATGTATGTAATAGTGCATGTATATATAGCCTGGAATAAATTATAGGATCACTAAACAAATCCGAGATGCAAGCAATGGCATTGAGGTTTTGATTGTTTGTTTTACCTTAGCAATGGTATGAGGAAACATTTTAGTTGTTATAGAAATGGGAAATAATAATACATTCTTGAGAATAAAGCTACTATTACCTTAAGATTTCAGGGACTCGAGCAACCCTTTTGTGGAACAAGCTGTACAATACAGTGTAGCCACTGCAAATGCAATATTAGTTGACAAGAATAAGAAAGATTTGCTACACAAGCTACTTTTGCAAGGTAACATTTGTGCATTATTCATTAGTCAATCCTACAACGGAAAAAAAAAAAATTGAATGTGACTTGAAGAACATGATGTCTCAGTTAGAGTGGCAATGCAGGTCTTGACATTACAATTCTTGGCTGTAATGATTTCTATTCATACCGTAACCAGGTAAGCTACCCTTTTTATTGCATGTATCAACTTGGTATTTTCTTCTCTTCATAGGTGTATGACAATGGTTTGGTTATAAAATTGTTTACAATAAATGACCACAATAAAATAAAAAGGTTTGCTTAACAATGTTTTAAAACCAAGAGGTGCAACTAAAGCACCAGGAAAGGTGTGTGCCTGAATGAAGTGAGGTTCCACTTTTGAATAGGAAAACAAATGAAGTTCTAATCAGTAACAACATAAAAAATGGGAAAACAAATGAAAATTCTATATAGAAGAATATGTAAATCTAAATTCTGAAAGAAATAAAATACTTCAAAGGCTTGTTAGCTTAATCAGTTAAAATATCATCTTACTAACATGAAGGTCATACCTTTGTGTTCATTCTAGGAAGAATGAACTAGTGTTGTACCTTTACCTTTAAATCCATCTAAAATGGTCATGTGTACAGCTATTGTAATTAGGGTGTATAGCTATAGTCCTAAAATCATCTTTACACTTTTCCTATCCCATCATTGGTTCATTCTTCCTAGACTTATACTTGGGTCTACAGCTGTAGTCGGGTTAGATTCAAATTGGATCCAGCCACATCCGAATCCAATCTGATTAGTGAAAATTGAAATTCGAATCCAATCAGATATAGGGATATCTGCATAGGTTCAGATCATGCAGACCTGGATCAGATTCAGATTTAATCCAAGTCTACTTTATATTTCTTTAAAACAAATAAAAAAAATAAAAAAATGAAATAAAAAGTGAATTGCTTTTTAACTTAATACAAGCATACATACAGGTCTGCATGGCAGTTACTTGGGTCATTAGTCCTATCAGTTTTTTTTTTATCAGTAATTCCAGTCCTATCAGTTTGTACCAAAGGAGTTGGTCTGATGCAGAAGCTGAAGAGTCAGAATTGGAATTTTGTGAAATTTTACGCGTTTCTGTATTTTTGAACAGTAGGGGTATTTTTGTCATTTACACTTTTCTGTGGGGTCCAATGATAGGGTCTGGTTTGTCCAGTTATAGTGTGTTTATGTTTAATGCTTGAGTCATTTACATAAGTAGAATAAGAGCTATTGAGACTTGAATTGAAATATGATAATGACAATTCAGTTCAAGTCCTACTAGGATTTTTTGAGGCTGTTGAGGGAGAGGCTTCCTGAGCTGATTACAAAAAAGATCAAGAAAATATAAGGGCATTACATAGCAAAATTATCAACCCACAGAATACTATCCCAAGTTGGGGAGGTAATCCAACTCATTCCAAACAGTTGCAAAGCATGGGGCTGTAAACCAGAAGAGAAGCTGTAGTTTACTAGGATTCTGGGCACTCTTGTAATTGATGGAAAGCTAATGAATTGAAATGATGCAGTTATTGATAAAAACAAAAACAAAAAAAAAAAAAAACAAAAAAGCTTTAGTTTACTAGGGTGTGCTTGATGCTTTCCTCAGCCATCCCATAAAGGGAGCATTGATTGACAATGACCATACTTTTCCTTCTCAGCACATAGAATATAGTCTTTGGGGAAACCTTTATCATCCAAGGGGGGCGGGAACAGATTGCTCCTGAGTCAGCCACCAAAGCTTGTCTTCTACCAGTGGCTGTGCTGTGGTTTGATCTGCTCCAATGAATGCATCATAGAAACCAAAGAGTCAAGGTCCCAGTCATTCACATTTCTTCTTAGGCTTGGGGTCCAAATAATTTGATTTGCATTCACCTTATAATAGTCACAAATTCTGGCATCTCTGTCTTGAGCCAGTGCAAAGATGGATGGGGAAGCATTGCATAGGGTTTTTTATGAGTCTACAGTTTTGTTTTGAGTCCTACTACGATTCTTATGAGTTTAGAGTCTATAAAATATACATGGATATTTTACACAAGGATCAGTGAAGTTTATTAATTTTTCTTGAGCTTATGCCAATTATGGTGAGTGATTCCCATACCCTAGTGATTTTCTAGGTACCTTGTGAGTGATTTGAGGTACTCTCTCTCTCTCTCTTCTTGTTCCTTCAAGAAGCCACTGCAGTCATCAGCGGCTATAAATTTTTTTTCAAAGGATTCAAAAAGTAATCATTCCATGGGCTAGAGGTAATCAACATATCCCTTGGACTCTCAAAAGAGATGTATACATGGAAGTTGAAAGGATTGCAAGAGAGTTAAATGCTTAATTCAAGTGGGTTAGAAGGAGTGCAAAAGGGTTAGCTGACTCCCTTGCTAAACAAGGGACAGCAAGGCAGCACTTGTTTTGGGCTTCTTTGTTACCTAGCTTATATGTTTGTTGGGGTAACACCCTGGTCATCAAATTGTAATGCTTTTCACACATAACCAGTTAATAAAATAAAATTATTTGCTGATCAAAAAAAAATTCAAAGGACTTGAATTGAGCTTGTCCTACATCATGGTCCCACATATAGTGCCTATATTTCTGATATATGGAACTTAGATGTTTCTTCTGTTGTTTATTTGAAGCAGAAAAAGAGGAATTAATTCTTTTTGTCATAAGTAATCACATATTGGATATGTTTTGCAAATTATTTTTATCTATTTTTAAGAATTTAAGGCTTTATTTTCTTTCTGTTATTTGATTGCTTTGATGAAATCCCTATTTGTACTGCATCTTTGCAACCCTGTTTTTACTACATACTTGCAAACTGGATTGTAAATATGTTGTGCTTTTGCTTGTTAGATTGAAGCATACAAACTGCCTTTGACACCTGAATCATTGGCTTCTCTTCCACCCTTTTCGTCAATAACCTTCAATGCAGAGGGATCTGATGGGGCGAAGTGCAAGCCTGAAGTAGCAAAAACTGGATTGGGCTCATCTGCTGCAATGACAACTGCAGTGGTTGCAGCTTTGCTTCAGTACCTTGGAGTTGTGGACCTTCCACTTTCAACTAAAACTGTAAATCAACAAACGATAGACAGTAAAGATCTTGATTTGGTGCATGTGATAGCCCAAAGTGCTCATTGTATTGCTCAGGGCAAAGTGGGAAGTGGGTTTGATGTCAGTGCTGCAGTCTATGGCAGTCAACGTTATGTTCGGTTTTCACCAGGGGTTCTTTCTTCTGCTCAGGTCTCTCTCTCTCTCTCTCTCTCTCTCTCTCTCTCTTTCTCTGTGTCCCTCTCTGTATGCTGTAGTATTTTTTCTCCTATTTGGTTGTCTGAAAAAGAATGATATGTTGAATGTTGATAATCATCTAGAGGTCAATATTTGGATCAGAAATCTGTTGCATTGGAAGAGAAAGCTGTATGGGGATCATCTTTTCTGAAATAGCTTGATATGAATTTTGTATCAGTTGTATTGGTTGGCTACCCTTGATTTGTCCAAGGCAGTCTTTATTCTTGTCCTTTCCTAAGGAGGACTGGACGAATGTTCTTATTTTTTATTGCTCTCTTTTATAAAGTTTCTCTTATGGGTAAAAAATAATATAAAAAAAAGAAAACCAACAAGATGCTATATGGATGCAATGCTTAACTTAAGAATATATCAGCATTTGTTACTTCTTCTGCAATCACACAATTACCTCTGCACATGTGCTACCTTTTCTGGCATGCTTCTAGTAGCCCATCTGTACGAATTTCTAATGCAAAGGCTGGGAAGGGTATCTTGATAGAGTTGAATGGAAAAACAGGTTTCATGTAGTCAATCCCATATAGTTGTGAAAGGCTTTACAGAATTTTAAGTATATACAGTTATATAATTTGTGTTTGTCTTAGTCATAGCTATTGGTTCTGTTCCCCAAGGTTTTTGAGGCAGTAGCCTTTTCTTTATTTTTATAACAAAGTGCAAAAGCAGAAATTTACAAAAATAAGCATCAATCCAAGTATTGATTTGCTTTTATCCATCTTATAGCTTCTAGTGTTTGTTATTAGACACTGTTACAATAGGAGATTTTTTTTAATGAACAGTGTTAAGCACTTAAGCAGTTAAGTTTCATATATTCAATATGACAATGTACAGCAAGGAACTTAATTATGTTTTTGACACCAAAAATACCAGTTTCCACAAATATTTGGCAGTTTTCTATCTGTCATATTATTGTTATTTTTGTAGTGTTTTGTTTCTTAAATATGTCTGTATTAACATTTCCTGATATTCCACAGAAAATTTTCACTATCCTTGATACTTCCTCAAACTGGCAAGTTTTGCACTATTTCCAAAACTTCGAGCAAAATTTTCCCAAGAATTAAGTTGTGACCTTTCCTGCATAATAATCACCATGGCAACCCCCCTCCTGGGAAAACGATTTCTTTAATCTCCATTGTTGAGAAAATGTTAGGAAATTGGGACATTTTGAACTGCTGAAATTAGGAGATATTTAGTTTTGATTATTTTTTTATTTAGCAAAGAGATACCATCTAAGCCTCTATGATTGACTATTTGCTGCAAATATCTTAGTATTCTGCTAGTCCTATTCTCTGGAAAATTCCACAGCATCTCATGCTTTAAGTTTCTTGTTTATTGGCCACCACCAAGATGGACATTTTGCTGTAGCTTGTTTGCATTTTGTCAGAAAAAGAATTCTTCTATTCTATTTGTCAAGAAGATGTGATGAAACAGTTGGTATAGAGATTTTTTTAATGCTCACTTCTGCATAAATGATAACAATCTGTTCTTACTTACACTGGAAATTGTGCTACTTCTTTTTTATTTGCCTACAGGAAGCAGTGAAAGGAAATCCATTAAAGGAAGTTATCACTGATGTTATAAAGGGGAAATGGGATCATGAAAAGACTCATTTCTGCTTACCACCCTTGATGACACTTGTGAGTATACTGATACTTTCTATTATTTGCATATCACTCATTTAAATGTGTTTGAAGCAGTGCCTTGAGGCACAAATATGAAGACTGAGCATGATCATGAAGTGTGTCAGTGAAGTGTATGCCTCAGTAAACTTATCTTAAAAAAAAAAACTTTGCAGTTCCAGAATTGTCTTTTTCTCCTCTTACCATAGGTTAAACCCTCAACCCCACCTTGTATTGGTCTAGTTCTTCTCTCTACCTATGTTGAAAGTCAAAGTTCCTCCATTCTGGAGCTTGTACAAGGTTGTTGGAAGAATAGTTACTTTCAAATGTCTAAACAGACCTTGCTGTTTTCGCTATTTATACCCTCTTTGTGTGATGAGTTTACAACAATAGCCATCTCCCAGACTGCTTATTGGAAAAGAATTGTCCTTTTCAAACCTGTGATATTAAGAAAGAAATTAAGGGGGAAGTGATTGGTCCCGCCAATATAGAAAGATACAGTATTCATGTGCCTGACTCAGATTGTCTGGGTCTGCCATGTCATCTCTCCATGTCAAAATAACCATTGTTGCTGCAGTCTTCAAAGGCTGTAACAACTTAACATAATAACCTTTGCCAATGTATGTATTCATGTTTGGGAGAATGCCACTTGTCCTTAGGTATTTTTGTTGATTGGATTGGATGATCTAACCAACCAGTTTATTGTATTTCTGGAAAGGTCTTATTATTTAATAGTGTTGTAGACAAATATAAAAATCCTGTTTGATCTAAAACATCTTCCTGGTAGGTGACATCAAATGGTTAGYTTTAGCAAGATATCTACCATACATGCAACAGATCTTAGAGTATTTCCTTCTTCCAGCAAGTTTCCAATATGACAATTCTTAAATGTTCTCTTGTGGAGTTATTTGGGAAAAGAATATCAAAATATATGACAGTTTTTTCCCCCAAAAGTAGAGTTTGCTTGTTAAGAAGCTTTCTTTGTTCATGGCAAGACCTATCTTAAGATGCTTAGGAATGGGGATGTTTTTCTGCAGCTACTTGGGGAGCCAGGAACTGGAGGATCATCCACACCATCAATGGTAGGTGCTGTGAAGAAGTGGCAGGCATCTGATCCTCAGAAATCTTCATACACATGGAGAAGATTAGCAGAGGCAAATTCGGCACTTGAAGGACAACTCAAATTGTTGAGCAAGCTTGCAGAAAGTCAGTGGGAAGCATACAAATGTGTCATCAATAATTGCAGCAGCCACAGATGTGAACAGGTAATTCATAAGATCATTGTACTCATAGATACAGGAGAAGGAAAGTGAAAGCAAACATATCTAGATTTTCCCAATGTGCTTCAAACACTCAACAATGCATATCAAATGCTCAACGTATCTGTCTATCTCCTAGTTGCATTACTTATAGTAAAGCAGTGGTGTGATGTTAGGCGTCTTATATTCTTAATCCTTTGAGGTTGGGGCCCTTACATCAATATCTCTTCAAGGCCCCTTGAGGCAAGTCCAAACAAAACCATATATGTAAGGGGGTTTAAAGGCAATGCTACTGACCAGAATCTAGATTTTCCTGATGAGTACATCCTACTACTTTCATCTAATTTGCAAAAAAAGGAATTGTTGAGTGCTTGAAGCACTTTGGTACAATCCACATCTGTTCACTTTCATTTTGAATTTTTTTTATATATTTTGCTTATGTATTTTGAATTGAACTAATAAGATTTTTGAAACATTTAATTTCTTTTAAAATTCAGGTTATATTTTTTGTATTAATGTTTTCTTTTTATTTTTCAAAAATTTGTGTCTTGCTTCACCCAGGCATGCATCTCACCTTGTATCTTGCACCTTGGATGCTATATAGCACTTAATATTTTCTTGTGTCTCTTGCTTTTAAAACACTACAAGAACTACAAATATAATGCAATTTATCATCATCTAAAGAATTGCTAACCTAGAACCAAAATTCAAGGTCTGAAAATCAAAACTAGACACATAAATATGCCTATAGTGATAATTATAAGTTAGGGTGTACTCATAGATGTGAAAGTGAAAGCAAACAAATCTAGATTTTCTGGATGTGCTTCAAACACTCAACAATGCATATCAAATGTTCAATGTATTTGTCCCTCTCCTAGTTTAATTATATATATATAAGGGGGTTGGTTTTATTATTTTTGGCTGCACTTCATTCTATTTTAGGATTGGGGATCAGAGAACAGAAAATGATGGTATTTTATATTATGGACTACTCGCACCCACTGTTGGGCTCACAAGTGAGGCTCATTTTGGGGGATGCACCACACATGACATGAATTAACCATTAGTTTGATGCTGAATAGGTAATTTAGTATATTGCAGGCTGACCTGTGATGTTTAGAGTATAAACAGTTTAACCTATGTAGGACTTGAACTGTTGAACATATACACGGTTTCATGTTAATAATTTTATACTTTAATCAAGTGATCTAATAGGCTTTTTGAAATATTTAGAATTTAAGTTTGTATATTCTTATATATAAAGTTTCTCATTAACTGTTGTGTAAAAAGTAGCCTCACCTTGTTCAAGCAATGCCTGGCCCTGTGCCTTTCATCTTAAGCTCTAGGAACCCCTTGTGTTTTTTTCTTGCTTTTAAAACACTTTTTAGACTTAGGATCAAAGTAAACAGTCTGGGGCCTCCACTAGTATCCACAAATTGCATATTTACATCATCATTCATCAGGACCCACCCCTGGGTGGGTCACACCAAGAGAGTACAAACGCCAAAAGTTAACATGATCGAATGGGTTTTAACCTCTTGATCATATATTGGAGCTTTTTATGAGTTGTCACAAAACTTTCATACTTTCCAAATTTATGATGTGCAAGCACAAAGTTGACACCAAATTTCAAGTTGATTTTTGCAAGACTAATTTCCCTAGAGTACCAACCAAATATGATCTCTGATCCTTTTAACATGAAAATTGAAATACAGGGGGGACCTAGAGGGACACAGATTTTCTATGGGCCTTGTTTGCCCAGACCTCCAGCCTATTCCATGTTATTTTTTTTCATGACATCTTTCTTTTAAACCTGGAACTTCACAAAATATTGATATTTAAGAAGTAAAAACATGATAATATGGAATAGCTGCAGTGATAATTTGGTGAATGAAACAGTTGGAGGCTTTGGTCAAGGTTGTTCATTTTGTGCATCTAGGTTGACTCTCAGACTTGGTTAACAGATGATTCTTGGCTAGGCTTCCTTTCTGCATGGTTAGTCAATCCTACACTTCTAAAGCTGGCTCCACATATTTCTGGTTTAAAGAGAGAGATGATGCTTCATTTTCTCCTTTGACTGAAAATGTCCTTTTTATGGTATAAAAAAATATCTGTTATGTTATGCTTCATAAGATCTTATGAACCATTTCTCTGAACAGTGGATGAAGCAAGCAACCGAACCATATGGAGAAGCAGTTGTTAAAGCTTTGATTGGAGCAAGAGATGCTATTCTTGAGATTAGGCTTCAAATGCGTCAAATGGGTGAGGCAGCAGGTATCCCGGTATGTGTTTTTCTCTTTGAAAGAAAATACATGTCAATGTAAGAAACAGGAATATCTTCTCAATGCATCTTGGTATACACATATGTGCCTGCACAATTAATGGGATATATGACGATTCTCAACCAGAAGATTTCAGGCAAAAAATTGATTCTTTGAAGATTGTTGCTCTGATCTACTGCATTCCTTGATTATGCCAAAATAACTTAGTCATCTTAGTCTTGGACTCATAATTAGAGGGAATCTAATCTTCTATAATTATATGTTTGCCATTTGTTTGTAATGAGCAAGGAGGATTGTTTCTTCCATCCTCCTTCCTGATGCATGAATTCCTTGGTTTTTTTTTGTCTTGGTTTTCCAAATATTAAGCTGCTGTTGGCAGGTGCCTGCAGAATGCAAAATTGATACTGCAAATATGCTCAAATTTCTGAAAACCTTGAAATCAAGGAATAGAGAAAATAAGCAGAAACCTCCAAGTATTTTTCAAAATGGGTTTACATGCATGCATGATCTTGCATAAAACGTGCATTACTGTATGATTTGACAAGAATTCAAATCAATGTTTTGAATACCAGACTGAACAACCAATCAAAATTAGGGACAAGTTTGGTTCAGTCTGGTTTTTGTGCCTGTCTGACCCCACAAACCAATGTTTTAGCAAACTATCAAGGAATTATTATATATATATATATATATATTCACCCAGTCTGACCATCTAATCTGGCCTGGTTTTGAAACAACAATTAATTAATTATGACAACAATTTTTTCTTCATTTCTTCCCTACTAGAGGTGTTCACTTTATACTGTCTTCTTAGACTATATCTGTCTATGTGCTGTTTGATAATTTCTCATGGTTGATCCCAAATAAAATTGTCAATTTTCCATTCAAATAAATTTCAGATGTCTTATATGCACTTTTCTGGATGGTCCAATCTTCTCTTAACTGTTTAACACAAAGATTGGGAAGTAGAAGGAAATAGAAAGTTGCCAAACATGCAGAGGGATGAAGGTGCCAGTATCTTGTCACTAAGGTCTTGGCTTGTCGTAGCAGAGACTTGAGAATGAATCCTGTCTTCACTAGGGTTAGGGGATCTTGGGGTTGGAGGAGGGCTATATAAACCAAGGTGCCTCAAACCTCATAAATCTGATTGTGGACATTATCACGCATTTGGGTTGTTGTTGGTTAGTCTGTATTTGGTTAGCATGCACGTGTAGAAAATGGTGGTAATAGAGTATGCACAGAAACAAAGGACATTGATATAAAATATATTTGGGTAAAGAGAAGTGCCAACTCCTTCGCCAATGGACTAGCTAGGCAAGGGTGCATAGGGATTCTATGTTCTGGGTTCACTTGCAACTGTTTTCTCTTTCTTTTGAATGTTTTTCTGCTCCCTTGGGGAGTTAAGATAGTTTATCTCCCCTCCCTTGTATTTTAACCTCTTATCTTAATGAATCGTTCCTGTTATTGATAAAAAAATAGAGTATACACAGAAAATTCTCTTATGCACTAACGAATTTAGGTTACACTTACATAAATGTGTGGATGTCCTGTTTTTATATATTTCTTCTCTCTATTCAATATTCTTCTACCCCCATATTTACAGATAGAACCTGAATCACAAACCCAACTTCTCGATGCAACTATGAACATGGAAGGAGTCCTATTAGCCGGGGTTCCTGGAGCAGGTGGGTTTGATGCAATTTTTGCTGTCACACTTGGAGGGTCCAGCAGCAAGGTTACCAAAGCATGGAGTTCACTTGGTGTCCTAGCCTTGTTGGTCAGAGAAGATCCTCAAGGTGTTTGTCTAGAAATTGGAGACCCACAAGCTTCTGAAATCTCATCAGCCATATCAGCAGTGCATATTGAATAGGTCAGTTTTGCCTCCATGTCTGTATTAGATAATTAATTCTTGAGCTTAAGATAAGAATCACTGGGGAACATCTGCTGGAGGAAGAAAGATTCCAAACATGGTGATGCTTGGCGGATGTAAAATTCACACCCAACAATAAAAGGGTAGTCTATTTTTGATATTGTAACCTTTGCAATAAAAGATTGTGCAATAGAAAGTGCTTCCCATTCAACATCTATTAGTTGAACTTTCAGAGCTTGTTCAGCATAGTTAATACTTCTTTATTGTTCATAAATCTCTCAAGATTTCTTTTAATTTTTGTTCAGTGTAGTTGTAATGGGTAATTGGAGAAGCTAAGTGGACCAGTATAGTAGTTGAACAGTTGTTTTTGGCTAATGACTGTCTACTTCTGATTATGGATCATCAAAAAAGAAATACGCCACTGGATCTATTGAACAATGTCCCTCTCAACCGGAAAATGCCATTAGTTAGAAAATTGAACCTCTCTTTTCCCTATTATGGCCTTGTTCATTTTCCAGGAAGTGGGGGTGGGTAACTTGGTTGCTCCCATGGAAAAGAAATAAATTCGTGTTTATATTTCAGTATTAGTGGGTTTCATGGAAAAGAACGATTCTCGACTGGTTCATTTGCCTGGGCAAGTAAGACCCTCCTGAGACTTAAATAAATCGCTTATCAATCCATGCAGAAAATTGTTAATACATGATGGGAAAATCCATCAAGAATATTACTTTTTTGAATAAAACATTGTACAATTTTATACTGGTAAGTGCACTCATCTGGATAAGTTCATTTACTCATGTAAATGATTTATCAAAACATGAGCGACGCCTAAATGTTTACCAATCTCCTTTAAACCAATGAAGTTATTTCCTAACAGAATGGTAAGTTATTTTCTTACAGAATGAAGAAATTTTGACCAGTAGTCATAAAATTAAGCAAATATAGTTTCCATACACCAGTATTCGTCTGTGAAATGGGGGAATTGATTACTATCCGAGTAATTGCAAATGAGTGAAAAGGACAATTGGAGATGGCCAGCTTTTGACCGTGGGCGCTTAGTCGTTGCCTCTTCCCTTCTACATCAAGCACAACGTGGCTTATGTCTGGGGAGTAGCCGAGTAGCCTTTCAATTTCAGTTGCTTCTCAATCTTGATCGGGTGAATCATCAAGTATCCTTAGTGTTGAATTATTGGTGATATGGTTCATCTGGTAGTCGATTCTCATCTTATTAAAAAACTGGAGGTCATCTTCAACATCCAGCCCCATTACACGCACTTATTACAGCTATGTAGACGATAGTATCTGGTTCCAAGCCTTCTCTAATCATGTCTAAGAAGACCCTTGGTTAAGATAGACAAAACTTATATCTCTAATCAAAAGCACAAATGAGTAGCTGAGGCTCAGTTTGTAAAGAGTACAGATAGAAATAAGATAGACAAAACTTATATCTCTAATGTACTCTCCTTGAGTCCCCAGCAACCCTTAACCATGTACACACTACACAGTACACATCCCACAAGCCCTAACAACCGCGAGAAGCAACATCATGTTGATCCATCTGGCCGATCCAAAATGTGGCCATGGTTCCGAATTCCTTCTTCAAGTGCTATGTTCTCTCTCTCTCTCTGACGTCTTTACCATCTTGTCATGGTTCACCGTTATCTATCAAAGTACATATCTAAATTCAACAGAACATGGACGAAGAGAGTGAAAGCTGGAAAGGACAAGACAGCAATAAAGGTGGATATCCCCACTAAGAAATCACTTTCGGCCTCTATCAGGTCAAACCTACTGTTCTAACAGCCTTTTGCAACCTTGCATTGGGAATAGCTCCCATGAAACACAATTACAGAGATATTCTCAATGCAAGGCAGTAAAAGCTGCTTGAACAGGCTTTGCCCTAATTGAAATTGAATTCATCACTTCCGTTGATGAATTCAGCTTCACGTTCAAACAGCCTTTACTGCCTTGCATTGAGAATCTCCATACTGATGTACTTTTTCATGGGAAGATATTCTCAATGCAAGATTGGGAAAGGCTGTTAGAACGGTGTGGGCACAGATTTGCCCTGATGAAAGCCCATCTCTCCGTTGACATGGTTTATTGTATTGATCTCTGAGGGAGGAGTTAAAAGAAACGAGCAAAATAGACAGAAGAGAGTGAATAAAGAACATCCATTTGCAGACCCACCTGCAAATTAGTTTGTAGTTACTTTCCACTTCTGCAGATACTTTGGGCCAAATGGTGTCTAAACAATTCTTGAAGCCAAAATTAGCCTGGATAGAATCATGACTTGTATAATCTAGACCTAGGAAAAATCAGTCCAGAGAAATTCTATCAGATTAGTGATAAGTGGATAAAATAACGGAAAAGTACGGATAGGCCCAATGCAGATTTCTGATTTTCACTGCAGAGCTATAAACATTCAAAATGTCAACAACCCACACTCTATGCACCAATGCCCGCCCGTGAATTGGCATCAATTCCGAGCTGGCACCTACCCCAACAGTACATTGGGCCTACAAATTCTGACCATGGGTTGAACCGTCATTCACCCTAAAAGTAATCTTACAACTATAGGGATAAGCCCAATAGGGATGGGAGTTTGGCTCTGCAATCACTCACTCTGAGCTCCGGAGTTTAGTTTTGGGCTACCCTACCCTTCGTGACTCACTTGGAATCAATCCTCTACGGGTCCCGAGGACACTGACCAATGATTATACGACACATCAGCCTGATGCATGGGATACATTACAAGGAGATCGGGCTGATGTGAAGCATCACAAGTTATGAGTTGGGCCCCAGACTTTTTTACATGGCTCCCTGATTTTACTTAGGATGCGTTTGGAAATGATGCAAATGAGTGTGAATACAAATATGTAGAGTGAAACGGTCCATATAAATTGCTAAACTGGATTAGTTTTGCACTCACAAATTAACCTTCTTACCAAACAGACTTTTAACTGTAATGGATGCAAACACATTTCAATAAAGTATGCCTTTTTTATCAAAAGTTCATTTGAATGCAAATTTAATTCTTTTTTATTGGTATACTTTTACACCTTATTATCAAGGTAAATATGCATTGGAAAAGTGAACCAAAATGCAAATTTACCCTGAACCATGATTTACACTCCATTTGCATCGTTTCCAAACGCAGCCTTTACATTGCCGGCTTATGTGATAGTGGGGAATGTCTGATAGTGGGGACAACTTATCCTAGTTTACTTGCTTGCATATATAATCCGCATAACGTGGATGAGGATTTTTGTGGTTTTTTCTGTGAAAATTCGGCCTCTTTGCGTATTAGGAATACTGGAATTTCATTGATTAAAAATGGGTGTCCACCATTAACACACACAGGAGAGAGAGAGAGAGAGTTTTGACACAAAAACTCTAAAGCATTATCTTAAACTATGATTTTTTTTTCTTGTAACCTAAAAATTGATTCTCTACTGCTCTGTGAAATTGAAGAGATTATTTTAACCTACTGAATACTGATCTTTTGAAGATCCTTTTGGCTCAGACTTAATTTGTAAAAAGAATAAGTTAACCCATTGATCTGGGGAGGGGCTGGCCAGCCAGGAAATAGTTGACAAGTGTAAGTGATCTGGACGGCTGGTGCTTTGGGACCTCGTGACCTGCTCCTCTCACTGTAGCAAATGTTAGGCCACCTTGGTATACAACACTGTATCCACCAACCTACAATAAACAAAAGGAAAACCAGATAGTAGTATTCATGGAGGAAGAAAAAAAACAAAGAGGGTGAAGTGGAATTAGCATCAAATCTATTCCATTTTAATATAATGAAGGAAGTCAGAAGCATTTAAGCAATATCTGGTGGTGAATGAGTTCAGAGATCAGACCATCGATCTGTACTTCACATCCAAGTATCTTGAACCCAAGAAGTCAAATCAATCAAATAATCTCATCTGAACCCAAAATATAGATTTAGGGGAGGGTGATCTTTCTACTTTGGCCTCCATTACTAGATTCAAAAAAGGCTGGATCAAGCTTAAGAGTTAAGACCTCCACACTAGCTAACATGAGTATATTTATTATAAATAAAAAAAAAAGAAGCTCATTTAGTTTCTCAGTACTGTTTGGTTACAGATCAGCCACTACGAGAGAAAAGAAAGCAATAAATACAGCATTAGTGGAGGTGATGGGTTCTGGCAAAAAGAAATTACCTCCCGGTTTGCGAACCAAGGATACCATGGAATGGATTCCGCAAGTTGAAGCGTATTCAGAGAATATCTTGTTGAAGTTACTGGAATTAAACCATCTACGTCACCACTGCAATCCACCCAGTGAAACCATGTTAAGATTTATTCAATCTTAACTATTAGGTTAGGAAAAACTTCTTGGGGACTRACTTATTGTTCATACAACACAAACCAATAAAATCAAGGGAATGTTCTCCTTGGATCTTGATGAAGAACCAAGTTCTCTAATGCAGTAATATTGTATTAATTTCACAAAGAAGCAATGAAGAAAGATAACTTACCTGAACACCCAAACACGAATCCCATTGGCCATAAACTGCCGTAAGAGGGGAAGAATGGTTGATGCGCTGTCTCTCCAGTTACTGTTGATCATATTGCTGCAATTTTTTGGATTCAATTAAACCACCATACTTTTGGAGAAAAACCAAAGAAAGAATATTTGATCTATTGCACAAAACCTGGAAATGCAAATTCAAATGGCACCAAAAAACAATAGAAAAACAGAGATAAAGAGAAGCAAGTAAGGGGGTACACAGATTTAAGTGGTTCGGCTGCTTATAGCCTATGCCCACAGGCAAAGGAAGAGCAGAAAACCACTATATAATCTATAATGGAAAGGAAATACAGAGCTGTGCAATCACAACCTCACTCACAGAAAACTCTAAACTTCAAACACACCCAAAATCTCACTCTTCTCCCACAAGACAAAGACTAAATATACAAAAGAAAAAACCCTCAAAATACATAACTTTTTGTATTCAGTTCGGACCCATAAGCTTAATATGGATCGGGTACACTTTCAGCACAAACCATTATGAAATTTTTGCCTTTGGGTTTTTCTCAACTTATTTCAGAGCAGGTTCATGAAGCGGGTGCAACAAAGAATTCAAGTAACAACCATAACATGATCAACATGAATGGTAGGATTAATTTACCTGCAATGTTCCCAATAGAAACCAGGTCTAATGACATTGGCATGAAGGGCCCTTTGGACCTCAGGAAGGTTCATGTAATTCCGCACATAAGTTTCTCCACATGGATCCCAATTCAGAGACTGCAACAACAAAGAGTCCATCCAATCAGAGAACTCTCAACAATCATACAAGCACATATTCTATATTGAGTTTTAAAGAAAGAATTCAATTATGCAATTGATCAATAGTGGATCTTACTGCGGCTATTGTGGGATTTGCTCCAGAAGCACACAATGGGGCATAAATGTTGTAGATATCGATCGAATTGACAGCTGCATTAGCCTGGTTCATGGCGTAATTGCACTGTTCAGACTGATAACTGGCATAGCAGTAACTGTTGATAGCGTTATTGATCTGATCAGAAACTAGAGCATGTGTCCAACGGTAGTCATACATGCCCCTCATGTCGGTTTCCCCATTGATCAATGGATTGCCAATCTGCAAACAGAGATGACCCACTGATCAGATACCATAAAACCGATTCTCTATCCTCGTTTTAACCCAAAAGAAAGAGAAAATGAGAGACTCAGACCATGATCCCTCTAAGATTGATACTGTTCATTCCTGCATTCTTGTTTTGGAGAATTGCATTGGCAAGCTGAGGCACATAGTGCCCAGCATAGCTCTCTCCAACTATATAGAAATCTCTGGTTTTGTATTCAGGGAATCTCTCTAGCCAATTCACCAGAAACACGTAATTATCCTCAGCTGTACTTTGATCTCCTCTTGTACTGTAATCGGAACTTGTGTTGGAGTAGGAAAAACCTACACCAGCAGGAGACTCCAAGAACAAAACATTGGCCACTATAACCCACAATAGAAACAAGAAACTAAATCAGGTTAGAATCACTGAAAGGAAGGAGAGAAATGATGATCAAATGAATTATCCAACCTTGATTCCATGCATATGGGTTTCGATAAAGTGTTCTGCCGTCGCTTTGCACTCTAAATGGACCAAGTTCCGTCATTGCCCCATCTCCAAGTGAAGAACACCCAGGACCTAGAAAATGGTTAAAACAACAAAAACACTCAGATAATGCAAGGATGTTGATAGCATGAACCCAGAAAATTAAACCCATTAAAGAGTTGATAGCAAAACACCTCCATTGAGCCAAAGAACGAGAGGTCTGGACATGGCATCCGGAGCTTCAACAAAGTAGTAGAAAAGAGCCCGACCAGCGGATCCATCTACCGTAACATAACCTCCATACTGATTGAAGTTAACCGACGGCTGCCCGGGCAACATGCTGATCCGATCACTCTCCTTCGAGCCTGACTGTGGTAGAACTCGGGCATCATCCATGATTCTGAACTCCTGATTATGGTTGGTGTGATTGCTAGCTCCAATATGGAACTTGGCTAGAACACGAGTAAGAGCGTCTGCTTGTAGTGCATGGATTTGAACAATAGAAGAGCACCAGAGGTAGAGAAGAAACAGAATGACTGGTCTGGCCTTCTCCATCTTTTCTTTTCTATTCTCGATCCTTCCACCCAGAAACGATGAGTTACGTCGAGAACTATTTATAAGATTCAATTAGCAGTAGTCGTATTTGAGTAGACTTCTTACGAGTTTTGCAACAATAAAAAGGGAATTGGGATGGACTCTGATAGATCAAACAAGAGATTCTTTTTATTATTTTAACGAAAGATTGTTCACTTCCTTTGGAATCCTACGCCTGTCTTTCAGTTCCTGCTCCTCCCCAAATCCAATTAAAACACCCCAAACTAAACAACCTTCTGGGCTGACGGGATTTCCTATATTGTTTACCGATCGCTTTGTGACAGGTGTCAATTATTGTGTGTATAACCGGACACCTGTCACGAAGTGATTGGTTACGTAAAGAATGCCTATGCTGCCCAGACATGCAATCTTAAGCCAAATGGACCCTGTGATCCACATTTAAGAATAAGTAGGTCCCATGTGTACGGAACGTTGATGTGTCCACTTTTCAATGGTTACTGGCCCGTTGTACACGCCAGTGTTCGCAGGCTCGCAGAAGATCCTATTGTGTTGTGTTCGGATCTCGTACCCACGATAACCCTAACCACACTTACTCACACATCACTACAGTCGCACATTGAGAACGTTGGTGTTTGGCATTGGTGCTGGGAATACAGCATCGTTTTCTCCTAAAAGTATGCTTCAGAAAATGCTTATTTGTTTAGAATCGTTTTTCCATAAAAAATGTGTTTTAAGGCACGTCTTAGAAATTGAGAAGATATGACTTGGAGCAATAACGAATTTGGCATTTCCTAGAGTTGTAGCTCGTTGCTGCTAGTAGGGATATGAGATGGCAGTGATGTGGCATTGGATAATGGGTACCAATGATGAAAACGTTTCTAGAGCATTGGTACCTGTTGCCGGGCGAAATGGGCTGAGGGCAACACTGTCAATTCGCTCCCAAGCCGAGATGTGATTGAGTGGTCCGAGGCTCAAAGTGGCCGAGGATGGGTAGGCGGGTCCTACAAGGAGTAAAGGAAGGAGAACGTCAGAAGCCCCGAGTTGGTACCCGAGGCGGAAGCTCCAACGGTCAAGTTAGTATGGGTGCAACACCAGGTGGACAAGGCCTGAGGTGAGAACACTCAGACGAGGCCATAAAGGAAACTAGAGAGTTCTTAGTAGTTCTTGAGTTTGGATTCCAAATGTTTACCTTGAGAAGGTTGCCCCCTATTTATACTTGAGGTCGCCTAGAGGTAGACGGGCGTGGACGACTAGGATGCGGTCCGTCCTTGAGGAGCGCAGACATCTGGAGTCGCCGCGTGCAACTGCGTCATTGGTTCTAGGCTGCACGCTAACTTCTGCCCTACGCGCGACCTCATTGGGTCTGTCCTGCGCGTCGCCGTTTGCCACGTGCATGCATGCCGTAGGTCCAGGTCGGGTGCGCCTACATCAGTACCAAACAGAAAATGTTGTTGCTGCTCCAAGAAACGTCCTACCTAGCAACAACGTTTCCAAACAAAAAAAAAACACGACACCATTTTCTCAGAAAACAGTGCTTCCAACCAACCCACACATCAGCAGCACCGTTTTCTCAGTATCTGCAGCATCGATGCCAAACATATTCTTGGTGTTACTTCGGACCATACTTTCTTAATTTCTAAGGCGTGGTTTGAAACAATGTTGTTTTATGGAAAAATGGTACCAAATAAGAGGTTGTTTTCTAAAACACTATTTTCCTGATGTGGTGCCCGCATAGCGCCATTTTCTCAAAAAACGGCATCGATGCCAAACACCGCCAACATCCCACATATTTATTTGCATGCTACCTTTCATGTGCATGGAGATGTTTCCAATATATAATTGTAATGTCATAGAGTTGAAATCTTCTGCCAACAAAACATGTTCCTACCCTCTACCAATTTAATCTAATACCACACACCTCACTATGAGAATGGGACCCACCATGTATGAGATGTACAATGTGAGATTATGTTAGTAGAGGGTTAAAACATGTTTTACTGACAGGTGATCCAGACTCAATTAATGTCGAGTGGCTAGGTGTGAGTTGGATTGAAATTAATGTGAAGTGCAGGCTAGGCTGGGTCCGAGGCTTATCTTACATTCAAAGCCCAACCCATGATCAACCCTTATATTAGAGCATTCAATGGGTGGGGTCTGGTCCGAATCATGATAGGCCTGATTCAACCGGGAAATAATTGTGCAAAACTAGTTTAGAACCAGATCTTTTCGGGTTTATAATCGGAAATATTATGTCTCAATTTGACTAAATAAAACCTTATTATAAATTTTTTATTTCTAATTTGACAATAAATCTACTTATTTGTTAAATTGACACATTTAGATATCACAATGTGATAATATCACATAGAGTAGGTATTTTTTTATGGTGAAAGAGAAATAGGTATTAAAACGATGGTATCTTATGTATAGTTGTATATACAATTAAGGGTGTCAACGGTATTCGAAAATCCGATTTCGAATTCGATATTCAATATAATCGAATCGAATTCGGATAATTCGAATATCTAATCGGTCGAATTCGGATATTCTATTCATACCAAATAGTTAATCGGATTCGAATCCGGATATGACCTGATCCGATTCGATAAATATCCAAATTCAACTGATTATTTCATTCTTTTATATAATATATAAAATATTTTATATAATAATTAAATTATATAAATAATTTATATATGTATATACTTTATATCAATAAAATATTTATTAATTATCTAATTATTCCAATTCGATTCGAATATTTAATCAGATTCGAATTCGAATATTAATTTTCAATATCCGTTGGATATCGAATCGAATTCGGATATCAAATTTTCTAATCGAATTTGAATTCGGATATTGCCTGATCCACTTCGAATTCAATCTGTTTACACCCCTATATACAATTATCTATTTCTATACTATATAAAACAAATATTTGCCTTAGTTACGTGTATAAGATTTTTTACTTTTACTCTTCCATCTTAACTTCCACATTACACTAGTATATAATCAGTTTGAAACAACTAGAACCAATATTAAAGGAATGATTTCAGGCCAAAGCCTCCCCCAGTCAGACATGTGTCTCTCTTCCATTCAAACACTTGTCATTCTAAAGATTTAAACAAAATGGACACGTGTCAAATTCTGATTAGTGGTAGTTCAACTAAAGAGCCCACTAACATGTAGAGTGGAGCCCACCACCATGCAGAGTTGTGAGAAGTGGGAAGCTCCCACTTTCAATCTCCATGCTATTAATGACTATTAACTATTAAACTAATTAATTAATTCCAGCTATTGATTACTAATAATAATATACTTTTAATTAATTAAGTACAACTATTAATTACTAATAATAATTATTGTTAAATACTAATTAATTACTATTAACTACTTCTAATTAATTAATTCCAGCTATTAATTACTAATAATAATTACTCATTGATAATAATTAATTACTTAAAATAAGTTCTTTTAATAATTACTGCTATTACTTAATTGTTGATAATAATTAATTAGTGATAATATTGCTCATTATTAATTAGAAATGATAATTAATAAATATTTTCATAACGGTAATTAATAATTTGGAAATAATCATTTTATATTTATATTAACTCATGTTAATTATTTTGTAAATAAATATTTAATATTAATTATTTATATTATAATTATTATCAGAAATTAAATTCATACATTTATATGAAATAATTAATTATATTATTATTATAAGTAATTATAATTAATAATATTATATTAATTAATATAATTATATTAATATTATCAATAATTATAATTAATTATTACTAATGCTAAGGATGACAATTATTACTTTGGAATGTTAATTAATTAATGATAAATAATAAGTCTTTTAATAATGTTAATTATTAATTGGGATATAATCATTTTATATTAATAATAAATTCATATTAATCATTTTATAAATATATAATTAGTGTAAATTATTTATAATTAATACTATTATTATTCTCCAATAAATACTTCATTTAATGAAAGTTAAATTATAAAACCTTCAATTATTCAATATTGTTAAACTTAAAGAATTATAAAAGCAAATATTATTTTATGAATTAACTAAAAATCGTAATTATAACAAATTAATTACTTAATAAAAAGAAAAATAAAATAATAATAACAGTAGAAGTAATAATAATACTTTAATATTATTGATTTCAAAATCAATACACATATAATAAGAATATATTATTAGTTAATAATAATAATAATAATATACTTATTATTATTGGTTTCATAATTATTAATATATTATTAGTCTATTAATAATACTGATTATTATTAAAAAATGTTAACAGCAAAATTTAATTATTTAAATTATTTGCTGAAATTACCTGTTTAAATTTGGACAGATAATTAATTATTAATTTTAATTTCTTAAAATTATCATTTACTAAATAATATTACTCTTTGATTAATGACCATATTTTTGAATAATTGGTTTTTTATGTTCAATATTTTTTTTTTAAATATCCAAATAATTTTTCATTTGCAATGATAACCATTTTATTTTTCTCTTATTCAGTTTTCCAAAAGATAAAAAAATAAATTAATGATATATACCTATTTTTATCAAGTTGTTGTCATTAATGATGAGGATGATGATGAGTCAAATTTTTGAAAGAGAGGGAGTACTAATAATAATTAATGACTTTTAATTAATTAATTTCAACTATTAATTACTACTAATAATAATTAATTACCGATAATAAATTCTTATAATAATTACTGCTAGTAATTAATTACTGGTTATATTTCTCATTATTAATTCAGAGTGATAATTAATAATGATTTTCATATGGTATTTAATAATTCAGAAATAATCATTTTA